GAGCATGCCGTGCCATGTTCGCCCTCTCTTCCCCTCTCTCTTTTTCTCTCTCGCTCGCTCTCTCAATGCGCAAGGGTGTAATTATGCGTCCGTGGGTCCGGGCCAATCGCGGCGGGGCCCCTCGAAGACGCTCTCAGCTTGTCCGTTCGTTTGATCCCGTTCGTTCTCGCGCGTCCAAGACATCTTCGTCCTCGACGACGAGAGTATGCTTCTCTACGATCGGATCGTGGCCAAAATTGCGAAAAGGAAAAGATTTTTTTTTTTGTTTATTCGAATCGGTAAACGATCCGCGACATTGCATTCGCTTGAAAGACGTTCTTTTAATCCGTCCAATTTTTATCCGGATCGCGGATGTGTGCGTTCTGCGACGCGAACGCGAAGCGGCGAGACACAGCGCTGCGAAGCATCGAATTACCGAAGGATTTATCTCCGGTCGCAAACTTCGGTGCCGCCCGGAGTCACGTTGTCCACTCGTAGTTCAGCACCCAGGTTCATCGTGCGTCGTGACGCGCGGATCCCGGGTACACGGGACGATCCATCTCGTCCGTCCCGACACTCTGATTACTGGTTTCATGCTCGTGCGAGAGAATCGAACCCCTGGCTGCCGCCGTCTCATCGCGCGCCCCGTTACGCGCGCTCGCTCTCCCGTTCCGTTTTTGCATTTAGTCTCTTCGCGGAAGCGTAAATTAACTCCTTTGAGATTTTTTTGCTTGCCTCCCACTTAGATACGGCACTTAAGGCTATCGGGCGAAAAGGAGAGAAAAAGAGTGAGAAAGAGAGAGAAAGAGATCGGGCTCCTTGTGCGCCGCAGCGTTGCTCGCCGGGGTAACAACGCTGGCTATTCTGCCGCCTTTCACAGCTTGACGTTACAAAGTGTGTGTTTTACCGTCGTGTGCGTTGCCCGCCATTGTGTACCTCGCGTATCCCCGATCTGCCTGTCAAATGTATTATTCTTGAAAATTCTCATTCCTGCGACGCGGATATGTGAGATGCTTTTCGCGCCTGGGACAATCTGCTTGAAAATATCCTCGAAAAAGTCCACAGAAAATCCTATGATTATCACGAGAATATTCTGACGATTATTCCGTGATATTAAAGTTGATATAAAATTTCAGACTTAATTTTTTATGTTATGAAAGAAACGACTTTATTTTTCGCCATATTTCGATATCGACGAATAACTTCAGAAAGTGCCAAAAACGATCGGGTTTCGGCGCACTCGCTTCCCTGCCGCGAATTTATGCTTCGTTTTTGCCTTGACGTCCCCATTGGTTTGTGAGGTACAAGCGTCTCTTCGGGACGAGCGCGTCGAGGTTCGGTAAGAGCGTTTAGCATAATTCGAGGACGTTGCGAGGGGTTCCAGCGCCGCTCGCCCGTTCGCTTACTCGTTCGCTGCCGACAAAAATGCCTTGTTTTGCTCCGCTTAACTCTCCTCGTTAGCCACGGTGACATCTTGACGAAAGGGCAGGCCGGAAAATAAGAACCGTAAAAACGGAGCCGCGAAGAGTCCCGCGGGAATCCGTATTTTTCGTGCGGGCGTCACGGTGAGATATTAATTAAAATAAATAACATCGCGGAATTTTTGAAAAATACAGTCGTAGCGTTGGAAGAGAATTCAAAGCGCTTGCTTCCTTTGCGCAATCAATATCCGTCTTTCGAACTTTCACCGGAAAAAAAGAATCGCTTAATAGGCGATTGAGTAACAGTAGCTTAATGATACTTCTGTATCGTAGCGCGCGTACATTTTGCAGTACGTTTAATTATAGGACATATACGCGCTCGCGCAATTCGCAGACGAAGCGTTGCTTCGTTTCTCCATCATTACGAGCGGCTGTATGCGGCAAAAATTACAAGCGGAGTTTGACACTAAAATACTATATTTACCAAGAGATCTTTAAATTACTGTCAATTTTCTTCATTTATTCTTTAGTATTTTTGGTTGAAATACTGTCTAATGTTACCGAGAGACAAAACTTATCACCGTTGCCATTCATTGCCGAAGTAATCGGTTGTGTACGCGAACTAACGCGAGTCGTAAAAAGAACGTTGTTCGTTGCAGCTTTAATTAGGAGAAACTCCGCCGTTTCTGCCGGATAAATTAAGCTAATTGCTCGCGACGGAAAAGTAGACGTAGCGCATTTCTCGTGGAGGAGGGGCTCGAGTTGTTCCGCAGATAAAGACGCTAGAATGCGAAAGAACGCAGGGGGTGAAAGAAGGACATGACCCTCGAAGACTCGTGAAAAAAAAAGTTCGAGAGCACGAAATTAGTCGTACTCGCGGCAAAGGAGAGCATTAGACGCGCCCTGGGGGGCTCGCCCCCGCTCTCGCGCGCAGTCCCGTTTTATTCGATAATTATGCAAATGCCGGAATGATTGTCGGGCAATATGTCCTCGGAATAAAAGTACCGGGCCGGAGCAATTCGGTTATCTTTATGATTTCGGGTCGTCGAAGGGCGGCGTAGGAGGGACGAGCGCGGAGAGGGCTCGTCAATCCTCGGCGACAAGAGTCAAGCCCTTCATTTGCATTGAAACGCGGCCCTCCGGCCCTGCCTTCTTACGCGCAAATGCGACGACGCACTGTGATCAATGTCATTGTTTATAGCAGCGGAAGAATACAGGTTAAAGTTGATGTTTTCTCAGTTGTCATATATTGTGCGTTGATAGAAATATTACATTGCGATAAAAAAGAGGAAAATGTGAATATCATTAAATTAATACATATTAAAGGGCATAAATATCATTCATTCAAAATACAAAGATAAGAAAAAGAAGGAAATACAAGAATAAAGATTTCTACGTTATATTTTTTTCATCTCGCTACTTTCTCGGGTAGAGAATAGTGTGAAACTAGCGCGCGAGCAAATCATACGCGGGATTCATTCACATTCGAATTAATTGATCTATCAGAATATTAATCACTGTCTCTAATTGGATATGCCGTTCTTCTAAAGTTCTCTTAGTTCCGGGACAATTCACCTCGATTCCATTGGCGCTGTACCAGCTCAATGACGGCAATGAAAATGTCTAATTAACGCACGGGAATGGGCAATTAAGACATTGACGCAGCGGTTTCGTCGTATGACTGATTTAATTAAGAAGCCTCTAGGTCTGGCTGCCTCGGCGGAGCGAGCTTACAGCCGAGCATTACCGTTTTAAATTTACTATTAAAATATATTCCTCGTGCCGGAAGGGTGGAGCTTGCCTCGGCCAATGGGCTGTCGTCGCGTGCCTCGGGTCGTTACGAAACCTGCAAATTGATAAGAATGCATCGTCGTACCCTTCGGCCGTTCATTAGTCCTCTCGCCCCTTCAGCGAAGATGTCGGACGCGGAGTACATTTTTATTCACACCTATAGCGATCGTCTTATCGCGCCACTCTTGCTGTCGCTCATTTTAAAAGCCTCGCAATTTGTTCATCTTCCAGGTAAGATCCGATGTGTGTACGAAGCAAAAAAAAAACATGTATGCTTTATACGCTTCGACGAGCTGAAAAACGGAATAGCTTTGATCCATTAAGCATGAAAATCTTTTTCCAAGATATGAAAAAATTCAGGAGAGGAACTTTGTATTTTTAAAGAAATCTTTTATGTAAGCTGCGCAACACGTAAGAAAATAGCGCTCTAAAATAAAAACTGCAAGGTGGAAGGATCTTCGCGTCTCTCGCGACGCCGGGGAAGGGATATCGTGCCGTGATCGAATGAAGGAAGTCCAATTTACAATAACAACTATTTATTTATAGGTAATAATGCTGAATTACAATGAATACACTTCTTGCCTCGATACTAGATTGTATAAGTCCGGTCGCGAAAATCGGCGTCGCTAGTCGCCGTCGCCGTGACTCGCAGTGGCGACGACAGAGTTCATCTCCCATTCCCAACCCCCGCCCCATAAACGTTTCTTCCCCTTTCTCACGCATACCAGTCCGTGTTATCGTTATCTTCATTCTCGATTCGGCATCGCTTTCCTCGACCGAGAACCACCGTTCTGTACGTTCAGCGACTGCTTCGACGTCCATTTTGCTGCATCGGAAACCAAACGATTTCGAGATATTCCCGCGCTGCTCTCCTCAGTTCTTATCTACAATTTGTGCGTGATCGTGCCGTTGGTCGTTGACGCTGTTTCGTTTCACGCCCGAAACAACCGGTCTGATTGCTCGCTCCGTCCGCGAAATTTAATTTGTACTATTTGACGTCGGCAAAGTTCTTGTCGTCGGCTCTTCTCGCTGCCGATTGTGAGAGTCTCGCTGGTGGTTCTCGGATCGCGAAAAACGTCACCTCGAACATATCTGTCAACTCTCTCGGCTCCCTCTCTTTCTCTCTCTTTCTCTCTCTCTCTCTCTCTCTCCTCCCTCCCCCCC